AGAAACAAAAAAAATGAAAAAAATCTGTATTTGTTCTATTTGTCTTCTTACATCCTCCTGACTCGGTTTTTAGCATTTTTTTGCATATACATTCGACCTCTACAGTTTTATTATAGTATAGATTGCTGCAACGGCCATATAAGTAGCTAAAGCGGTATACTTATCTCTCATCTAAATTTCAATGTGTATGGAATTACGCATACACAAAAAAGCTTTTAATTTAACAAAGATTTGGTGTAAGAGCTAGTATGAAATAAAATTGCAATTTCAATATAACCCCCTCTGGGAGGATCGAGATCAATAAAACTTAATGTAATCATTTGACTAATCTGCATGCAACTTTAGAATTTATTATCAAGACATAAAAGTAATTTTGGTTTGTATATTTATATTAGGTACAAAACCTTCGGAACCTCAATAAAATTGTGTAGCAAAGTCAAATTGAGTTTGTTATTTTTTATTCATTTTAATGATTATATTATATATTGTTTAAATATATTTGTCCTATAATTCATATTAGAATCTAACTTTATTTTTCGAGCTTGAATAAGGCTAAGGTAAGAAAGAGGTAATCCTATATTTTGGATACGTAAAAAGATTAAGGAGATTCTCTAAAAACAAACGTGTTGTAGGGTTCGTTTTGTTATTTTAGGTATATTATATTTATCAAACAGTAAATCGGTATGATTATAATTTATAATGCTAACTAAATGCCTCGGTGGTGTAGTGGCTAACATGTACGGCTGCACACCCGAAGGTCCTGGGTTCGAGTCCCGGGTCGGGCCAAGTTTAGTTACTGATTCTTTCTGTATAGTAAGTCTCAGTAACAGCCCGAAGTTGGGAAGTTGGCGGTGTTTCACCCCCGTGCCTCGGAGAGCACGTAAAGCCGTCGGTCCTGCGCCTTAACTCTCATTGGTGGTGTCGAGTGGTCGTCCCACCGGAGTATGAGAGTGATAGGAATAGAGAGTGCACGTTGTGTCTGCGCGTACACTTGAGCACTATAATATCTCCTGCGCAGTTGGCTAATCTCAATGAGATTGGCCGCCGTGGTCGGAATCGGCTAGGAGAACATCATAATGCTAACTCTAAAGTATTCAGCTCTTTTTTAACGTCCCATTGCTAGGCACGGACTTCTCGTCAATTTGAGGGGGAATCAGACCTTAGTCCACCACGCTGGCCAAGTTGGCGGACTTCACATGTTTCGAAAACTCTGCTACGTTCTCTCAGAAATACAGGTTTCCTCACGATGTTTTCCCTCACTCTAAAGTAACAGTAATAAAAACTAAGTGTAAAATATATGATCTACCCTTAGTTTTAAGCACTAATCGATATATTCTATTCTATTTTTCTAGAGTCTATTTTTTTACGTTATTGTCCGGTATACAATTCCTAGCTAGCGAGTATCTCTTCTCCTTGAACTATATTTACAATATAAAAAAAAACTTTTTTATATTAATCTGCAATCAAAAAATAAAATCTGTTTATGATACATTGTGATAATAAAATAAATTAAAAAAATAGCAATAAATATTAAACTATTTAAAATTATACTGAAAAGTCTTTAATGCATTGTGGGCAACCCATTAATTGTGTGAGCTCAAAATTTCTCACGTCATACTAGAGAATTTCACGTCAACTTTGAAATAATAATAAAAAAGCACGGGTGCCATTGAATAAAAGTATTGAATTGAATAATAAAAAAAAATCGCTGATTTCTTTTCAAGTATCCCATTTTTCCCGCTGAAAAAATGTCATGTCTATTATTATTAGAAAATTTATTATTTTTATGCTTTTTAAAAATATACGAGTATGTACTCCTTTAACAAGTGTTATGTAGACCTTTAAAAGTTTTGATTAAAAACATTTAACGCATAAGATTACTAACGTATAAGTATTAATTAAGGAATATTTTTTAAATTTATTGTTTAAACGTAGATTTGTTATTTGTATCAATACGAGTACAATTACAGGTTCGTTATAAAATTACATACTGATAATATATTGATAATATCTATACGTATAATAAAACTGTAGAAGTCGAATGTCTGTACATAGAAAAAAATGTTCAAAACCGAGTCAGGTAGGATGTAAGAATAGAAATAGAACAAATCCAGATTTTTTTCAATTTTTTTGTTTCTCTGTCTGTTTGTCTGTTTGTACGGTCTAATCTCCGAAACTGTTGGACCGATTTAAATGAAATTTTGTATAGTGGTACCTTATAACCCCGGTAAACATTTTAGATACTTTTCATCCCGGAAAATTAAAGAGTTCCCGTAGGATAGTTAAAAACCTATAGTAACTTATACAGCTTAGTACACAACAGCTTATGCACCTAATTTAGTAAAATTTGGCATGCTGATACCTTATATTGCCTCTCAAACAACAGGTTATTTTTTATCCCGGAAAAATGAACAGTTTCCGTGGGATAGATCTGTTTGTGCATTTTTAGGCGAACCCGAGCGAAGTGAGGGTGAGCCGCTAGTGTGGTATAAAACTGTACTAAAGCATTACATACTTGAGCATAGACAATATATGTAGATATGCGTCTTCATAGATCTATAGTTTATTTTTTTAAATAATATATAAACAGATAAGAAATAATAAATAAGCATTTAGTGAGTATATAGTAGTACGTTGGAGTCGACGACCGCAGCCTTGACCGCTGCAGTGAAAGTGGACCGACGGGACTGGCTTATCTAACGATATCAGTATCGATCCGATTACCGAGAAATGAGATGTGCCCACTGTCTTAAAGCTAATGAATAAATAAGGCTTCGGCTTAAAGCTAATGAATAAGAATTACTTTTATTTAAAATAACACATGAAAAAAATATTAAATTATTGCAACTGTAGGAGTTTTTTTGTAGTAGGTAATTTGTGAAAAGATTATAAACCTTTCCAATAAATAGGCAAAGCTAAAGCAGTTCAGTATATTTTTCAGTATGTTTTTTTTTGTTTGTCAATAGATTTTCTTTCTTTTTATTAATCTCTGAGAAATCTATACTAACCGTTAAAACGTATCTAGGGACGAACCCGAGTGAATCGCTAGTTATTAATATATTTTAATCATTTTTTTATCATATGGCGTAAGTACGGCGGATTAGACACGTTATGGCTGTTTACAAAATGCGTCATGCATTTTTTTTTAATTTTGCTTGGCTAATAAGTTTTTAAGATAATATGTTAGATACATTACTAAACTTTAACATGTTATTGTTGTTGGAAAATGCAAATATTTTTATTCATAATTAATTAATTCAAATACGTATAAAGGTTGTACGTAGTTTGCGTTATTTAAAAATGTTTTAATGTCCTTTGAATTGATAGAAATGTAACCTTTTCACAATTAACTTGATAATATTAAAGGGACCTGTTTATATACTACAAGACTGTGAATTGCGAATTATTTATTATCGATTAAAATACGCACCACATAATAAAGAATATTTATATACTTTGTAATATGTAAAATTGATGAGTTTGTTTTCTTTTCTTTTATTGCGCTTATCTCTAAAACTATTATTCCGAACTTAAATTATACGCTACAGTGATAATTTAAAGCAATTTTAAGTAAAGCCGCGGGAAAACGCTAGTTAGACTGTAAAAAGAATAGTTGGTATGATTAATTATGACAGTTAAGAGGGCCGCTGTTTTACAACAAGGTAGTGTCTATTTAATATGTTATTTACAAATAAATAACCTGCAATTTGCGTGGAGTTGACCTTCCATAATTCAATTTTTTTAAGTCCATATCTATTGTATACATTGTTATCTTCATAAAATTATAAAATACTCGCGACTGACCCTCGCGTCGCTCGGGTTCGTCCCTAGTTTGATTCCCCAAAACAACCTTTCATCTCCATTTTCACCCCCTCAAGTGATGATTTCCGGGATAAAAAGTATCCTATGTCCTTCTCAGGATCTCAGACTATCTTCTTACCAAATTTCATCTAAATCGGTTCAGTAGATCCAGAGATTACCCTCTACAACGTCAGAAACTCACAAATTTTACCTCTTTATAATATTAGTAGGTATAGATAAACCTTATTTCGCCTTAAATTTATAATTATCAAGTTTTAAGTTTAGCCCTACATTTTGAAAACCTTCAATACATATTTTGAAAATATGTCTTACATGTAATGTTGTACATTTACACTTGTGATGTCGATAAAATTTATTTAAGAAGGCCGAATAGCTTAAATACGTAAATTCTAAGTCGAATTAAAGAAAAATAAAAAAATAAAAAAGAAGTATCTAGTTTGGGAGAAAGAATGAATGACGAACCAATAATCACATATACAATATATTTTATACTGTATGTGTGAGTACCTCGGAAGACTTTTGAACAATAACTAAATATATTTTCCCAACACTATACGACTACGACCGAATATACATGAAGTCCGCCAACCCGCACTTTGCCAGCGTGGTGGACTATGGCCTGATCTCCCTCGTACTGAAGGGAGGCCCGTGCCCAGCAGTGGGACATTAAAAAGGACTGAATACAATACATACAATACAAATACGACTACATACCATTCCTCCATCATAATCCGAAAAATACTTAATTATTTTTATTTTCATTAGGCGTTTAAATATTTTTCATTGATTATATTTCGTGTATTTAAAATGCATGCAATGCAATATAGATTGGGAAAATTACTAGAATAAATAATAAAATATCTTGTTGAAATATTTAACTGTAAGAGAATAATAATACTGAATTCTTATAAAATTGTCATATATTAAAATCTAAAAAACAATTACACAATAGTCAACAACAATGCGAACAACAAACAACAGAAAATGATTTGCACACAATAAATATCACAATTGAATAACAAAGTGGCGATTTACAACTAGTTCCATACATATATTTACAGTTGAACTTAGAGCTTCATATAACTGGAATAAACCAGTTTTTATCGGCTCTATATCCGGTTAAAACTGGTTAGCATTTAGGCTTAACCAGTATTTTCCGGTTCTTATTAAGATTTTTAATGTTTTCCTCCCTTATGGTGGTAGATGTGTTTGTATACAGGTACATGGACGGGGTAGGGTTTAGGGATTGGCACTTCCACCTTCTTTTCAACTTCTACGGGGTAGGGCTTCTCGACTTCATAAGGCACGGGCTTCTCTACCGTGTAGGGCACTGGCTTTTCTACCACTTGCGGGACGACCTGAAATTTAAAATAATGAAAAAAATATAAGACAAAAACAGAAATTAATTTTGTTAGAAACCGCAAGAAACCATGATAACCATAATTGCTACCATAGCATTTAATTTCTCTGCTAACGTAAGAGGCACCCAAATACCAAGGCTAACCCAATTATGTAGTAGATATCACAAAAACGTTTGTGGAGCGCACGCTTCGCTGCATCGCTCTTACTTTCTGCCTTACATAATAATAGATAATTGTCAATGTTACACGTCAGTCGATGACAAAAACACAATGGGAGTCATATAATAGATCTCACGACCAGAGAAAATGTCTTACATCGAGAAACTCAAATTGTGATTTACTTTTTGTTCTTTTTACTTAGCACCTTATTTATGAGTATGTATTTGCTTATTTACTGCGCTCGGAAGAGTTATAAATAAGCTCAATAATTACTAGTGACATAACAAAGTGACGTAACTTTTTTAATATTGAACCAATTGGAATAAAACAAATACTGAATATTAAGTGAAACTTGTTACAATACAGAAGTGAAAACCGCACCTAAATCGGTTAAGCCGTTTCTGAGATTAGCGCGCACAAACGCACAAACAGACAAAAATTCTAAAAATCATTGTTTTGTGTTTTATTGCGTTAATGAAGACCCCCAATAATAGTATTTCTCAAATATCTTTCATGTACAGACAGCGATCAGTTATATTTTTATTATATGTAGGTATAAATTTTTAATTACATATTTAATAAGCTTATAAATATATCTTATAATATTAAACGAGCAATTCTTGTATTGTATATGTATATAAATTTATTTCGTGTATTTCGGAAATGCCTCTAATGATTTCGATTAAATTTTGTTTTTAGATAAGATTTTGCTCTTAAAGTTTGTCTATATGGGTGTCCTTTCTGAAAAAACTCTAGTTTATATATTTTTTCCGAAAAACGCCTATCGAAGCTCAGGTACTTTAGCTTTATATTCCTACGTATTTCGAGCTTTTGTCCCAGTAAACGGTAGAAAGTAGAAAATAATTTTTTCTCGTTCTCTACATTTTACCTCATTAAAAGCAGCGACGAATCCAGTAAAGTTTATCTACAAAACCTATAAAATAAGCCTTTAAAAATTTAACAAAAAGCCGTAAGATACGCTTAAGAGCAGGTAAAATTTTTATGATCAACTAAATGGTCATTAAACGCGGGCTATCGCTTTGGTACGTGTACTTTAAAATTCACTGGTTTATTTATCTTACCTTGTAAACTGGTACATGGATCGGTTGTTCAACTGTTACATGTACGGGGTAGGGTTGTGGGATGGGGACCTTGACGTATTGTGGCACAGAAATGGCTACTGGATGAGGAATTGGTACTCCAATCTTCTTTATCACGGTCACGTGATAGGGCTTCGTGTGCTCGGAGTGAGAGTGACCTTCAGGTTCCCATTCCTCAGAGGGTCTGGCACTGGAGTATGCGATGAGCAGGAGGATGGCTGTTGTTCTCTGGAAATGTTCAAATGTTTTCTAATATTACTTTTTAAGTGAAAAGAGAGCTATTTGCAATTCTGTTTGACTATAAAGGTATTATTTATAAAGGTCATGCACATTACAAATTGTACTATTTAGAGTTCGTTAAAATAATGAATTTTACGTAGTACAATTTGATCTATTAAGATCAAAAATTTTAAAGCTCTTTGATTTATTGCATTAGTATTAGCTTCGGTTACATGAAATCATTTATCTACTTCACACTTTACTTCCTTAATACTTAATAAGAGGTCTTAAAAAGTTTATGCATATGTAATAAAGTAATAACAATTCAGATTACATAACTTGTGGAGTTTTGCAACATTTAATATCCAAGGAAGTATTAATCTACCAACAATAGTTCAAATTGCAAGTTTAGCCTAACATTAGATAGGAATGCACGCTATTATAGTGCTCGTAGGAACTAGGAAGTGAAAGGACAGATACCCTTTCACTGAAAGTAATTACAAAATAATATTTTATTATATCAGTTATCTTTCATCGACAATTTTTGAGAGAGATATCTATTATTTTTTTAATTTTCAAAATGGAGGAATTTTTTTTTAACCGAAACAAATATTTTTTTATTTGTAGTAAATAAATAGATTTAGGAGTATATTACAAAGGCCAAGCGATATATTTTTCAATTAATAATAATAATAGAAAAAAAATTAAGAAATATTTTTCACTAAATTAAAACCGAAAAAAGGGTTTTTAATAAAGCTAAATTAAAAAAAAATTTAAGTCAATTGAAATTCATTACAAATCACTTCCTACAGTGCGAGTATCCGAATTGCATAATGAAAATTAAAAAAATAATGTTTGAAAAACTTACGAAAGCAATCATGTTGTTAGATTTAGATTGTGTTGGCTCCTTAGTATTGACTGATGCAGCTTGAGATCCCCACGAGCGTTTTATACTTGGTGAAATGTACGGCATGCCTTTCCATTCAGTGATAGGTTCTATGTACTCAGTCGCCTTTAGACGGGGTAAACTCTTCCTTTCTATTAAATTGCCGCTAATACATTGAAGATTTTAGTAGGGAAAAGACTTTTTAAATCTTTGAAAACGATGCAATGTACGCTAAACATTTTCTATAACATTTATTCTTAACAATATATTATGGTTATTATTTGATAGTGCGCTTACGGCGTAATAAGGTTTTTTTTGTTTTTAGTTTTATATGTTAGTTTTGTTTTTATAACGTACATTTGTAGAAAGTCGTGTAAGATGTAAGATACCTACTTAAGTATTTATACGAACGAAATTTAGAACAAATTTTGCTAAAATTTTACATAAGTATCTAATAACAATTAATTCTTGATTCGCTATGATTGGATTGCTAATTGAAATATTGCATTATTTTTATAAAAAAAATTATTAATCTTATTGCTCTGTTATAGACTATAAATATACACGTTTTAACTAAAGTTTCTTTAAATCAGACTTATAATTTAAACTCTTCAACTTATAGTTTACGATTCCGATGTATGTGGTGGACCCCTCACCCTTTTTAATTTATGGGGCGTCGCAAGATCGTGTACGCACTCAACCAAGACGCCCTGACGGCAGGTCTGCCGAAGCCAACCACGACCATGGGGTTGCTCCAACGGTACACTGTGCTATCAGAGAAGCACCAGGAGCAACTCGCATTAGTGACAACTCCCCTGGGTTGTGTATATTAATGTTTTATTGTTTAAAAAATATATTTCGCCAGGCAGTGGTAGCCCAGTGGTAACGCGCTCGCTTGTGAAACCGAGTTATGCGGGTTCAAATCCCGGGTCTCACATCTCTGATATTTTCATGTGCGAATCATTTCTAGCATGATTACCACTTGCCTTACGGTGAAGGAAAACATCGTGAAGAAACCTGCATGTCTGGGGAAACTTAGCAAGTTTTCGAAAGATATGTGAAGTCCGCCAACCCGCAGTTGGCCAGCGTGGTGGACTATGGCCTGATCCCTCTCGTATTGAAGGGAGGCCCGTGCACAGCAGTGGGACGTTAAAAAGGGCTAAATACAATACATACATTTCGCCTGGAAAAAGAGCGAGAGGGATCTCCTACTATTACTTTTTAATAATTTTAAATATTACTATTTATGTCAATGATTTAATGAGAAAAGATACTAATTACAATAAATTAAAAGTAGGTGTTAAAAAGCATCAGCATTATTTAGCATTGTAAATAGTTTTAACACGATGAAACCTATAGTATATCTAGTATGTCATTTAATCATTCGAGTCAAAGTAAACTAAATGTAGCTATAGATTTACACTTTCTCCATATCGGAACCTATTGATGAATGACGAGTGCAGATTGAGTGATAAATATCACTTTAAATGGTTCTGCAGTTCATATATCGGATTGGCAGTATACATTGTACAACAGTTTGTCGATTTAGGGTAAGAAGGAACGACTTTAAATTATATTACTAAAAAAACGCATTCTTCTTGCTAATTTACTTGCAAGTTCTGTAATTTAAAAGATTGCTAGATCACTATTATAGCAAGATATCCTATAAGTATTACAAATACGGGATGGATGGATATTTGTTAATCACGCCACAACCGTTGAGCGGATCTGGATTTTTAGCACACATAAATAATTCTGAATGGTACAACTAAAGCATTATATACAACTAGCGCTGCCCGCGGCTCCGCCCGCGTCCCGATGACCAAAAACCAAATTCTTAGGTTTTACATATTACTCTACTCTTACACTGCACTTTTTGTATTTTTTCTCAGAAATGAGATATATTTCCGCGGTAAAAATTACCCTATATGTTGACGCGTATAACCAGCTATCATCATACCAAATTTCATCAAAATCTGTCCAGTGGTTCTCTCGTGATTCGGTAACAGACAGACAGACAGACAATATGTGTATTTCAATAAGATTTTCCAAAAAATATTTATTGTACAGATTCGACTTACTTACAATTTTATTATATGTATAGATTAGATTTATTTAATAAAAAAACATACTGGTGACAGGAGAGCTGGCTAATTTTTCGCCCAAAGAATCGGCTTTCCCATTTAGTGGGAAAATGCGACGTTCTTGCCACTATTCCACGTGGACAAGTTGAGCTGAAATTTGGTATACCTATTCCAAATTTTTTGACGGTGACAATAATATTATGGCACCATTGAGCTGATCTGATGATGTAGCCAGGATGTAGAGACTGGAACTCCCTGAGTGCATATTGTAAGACAGGATCTAAAGACAGAGGATGAGGATCTAAAGACGGATCCGGACGACAATAAGAGATTTTTTATTTTTATTTTATATTAGATTTAATTATTTATTAAATATATTAGATTTAATTTATTTAATGAATAGGTTATCCAGTATCTATTGTACAAAGACGACAGCATGTCTCTGCTGCGTGCTGCTCGTTAATGGCCGGAGACTCCAGGATGGACTTCCCCAGCGACATCAAAAAAGTGCAACTAGAAGTGTTGTGGTATTTAAAAATAGATTACCTGCGTAAATGGATTGTATATATATTTGATGCTGTTTTATTAGTCTATCGAGATAAGATATCCAATAAATAAATTATATCGAACATTAAAGACAACTAAAAATAAGAACATGCATTTTATTGAATTATTTAAGCTTGCTCAAAAATTATTAATTTGCAGTATTAATTTAAATCACTTTTCATTTTATTTTTCGATATACAGGAATTTGGTTTTAAATTAACTTGTTCTTCAAAGCTAGAAGCTTTACGATTTATGACACTTGATACCCACGCAAATGCCACCTCCATGGTTATTTATTATGATATATTTATACTTATAACAAAATTGTACCTGAGTAGAATCTGTACATTAAATATTTTTTGGAAAATCTTATTGAAATAGTCATCTGTCTGTCTGTCTGTCCGTCCGTCCGTCCCTCCGTCCGTCTGTCTGTCTTTCTGTCCGTCCCTCCGTCCGTCCGTTTCTCTGGGAACGCATCAAGAGAAAATCAGTGGACGATTTGATGAAATTTGGTATGACGATAGCTGATTTGGGTCTGGTTCATCATATAGGATATTTTTTACTACAAAAAATATACATACCTTATATATATACATAGTGTTTAGTGTCCATTTCCAGTTCACTTGATCAATACATTTTCAGTATATTTTGGCTAAAGCAGAGGTCAGTAAGAAGAAAACGTTATTCTAAATGAAAAGAGGAAATTCTATATATTATTCCATATAAAACTATTTGAATTTATAAATATAATAAATATATGAACAAACTAGTAGTTTTATTTGTTAATTTTTTTCGCCTTTATTTATATATATATGAGAATTTTCATATTAGTTTCCACAAGAATATTTTCTTATATATTGATTATATTTATAAAAATGTGATGTGATGTGATCATTGTGTAGTTATGAAAAAATATTGCTTAGTAGGTAAGAAAGTCTTTAATAAGACTTGGTTCCTGGTTCCGTTTCGACGTCACTTTATAGTAATCATGGTCTCGAGAGAGAATAAGGTTTTATACTTTTTTCTCATGAACGGTACCAAAAATCGAAATAAATCTGCGAAAAAATCCGATAAGATAGAATATTTAAAATTGACGACACGTTTGGCTCAGTTTGTAGTGACCAGTGTGGCAGCGGTCGCGGGTTTGAATCCCGCTGGGGGCATTCATTTGTGTGTTGAGCACGAATGTTTGTACTCCAGTCATGGGTGTTTATTTTTATAATATGTGTGTATTTAAAGTTATTTATGTGTAGTGTATCAACTATCTGGTATCCATAACACAAGACTCGTAGCTTACCATGGAACTAGATGGTGCGGTGTGTTAATGTCCTAACATATTTATTTATTTACTTTAAATGTTAAATATACTTGTATTGATACACGTCAAATTAAGGTCTTACTTAACAAATAATGTAAAATTAAGTTTTTTGTTTCATATTGCAAAATAATAAATATTAGTATTGAAAATTAAAAAGAATATCGTAATTAATTGCTATAGTACTTTCTGTTGTTGTGATTTGTGTAATAATGATAAATTATTTGGTACACATAATATATGTACATATACAACATATGTATATACCATGGACGAATTGTGGTTAATTCGTTCATGGTATATACATAATATATGTATATAATGTATGTTGGTTTGTTCAAATCCATCTGGTTGCTTAGGCTACTAAAAGTAGTAAGGAATTAACAGAATTAAAAAAAATAACAGAATGTAGACGAAATCGCAGGAAATAACTAACTTGCTGTATTTATTAGCTGCCTTTCTCTTTATAAGATGTAATGATGGGCAATGCACTCAGATAGTGATAAATATTGCGTCGAGTTGTGTGGGATGAGATGTTATGCGGACTTCCGGTGCGGATCGCGGTAATGTGAATTTAAGTGGCTACATTTAACCGATATAACATCGTATCTGTTATATATACTAGCACACCCAGCTTTGCTCTTATGATTTTTTATGTGTTTCTCTCATATATTTATTAAATTTATTATATACTAGCGACTTAGCCCCGCTTCGCTCGGGTGCGTCCCTGGGTACTATGTACTGGGTAATCAGTAGTTTTGTGTACTAAGCTATATAAATTAATATAGTTTTTTAACTATCCCATGGGACCTCTTTAATTTTCCGGGATGAAAAGCAGCTAAATGTTAACTTGGGATATAAGGTACCACCATGCTAAATTTCATTTTAATCGCTCGAACAGTTTCGGAGATTAACCCGTACAAACAGACAAACGGATAAACAGACAGAGAAACAATAAATTAAAATAAAACTGGATTTGTTCTATTTCTCTTCTTACATCCCCCTGACTCGGTTTTTAGCATTTTTTTTGTGTATGTACAGACATTCGACCTCTACAGTTTTATTATATGTATAGATAATATAATACAAACGGGTGTAGATAAACCTGTTCTATGTTTGATGGGTTTTTATGAGAGATAAAA